AAGGCTAAAGAATGAGATTAAGTTAACCAATCGAAATCATGTACGAAGGCTTTCCAATCCACATAACTTTACCACGTCCTGGGGGGGAAATAATAATAAAAAATAAAAAAAAAAAATCAAGAAAATCATTACCTACCGACATAATGAGTCGCATATTCATTTTGTCGGTATGTACAGCCACATTCATCTAGAAATTCGGGATCACCCATTCATGATGCGACACAGCACCTTTCAATGAATGAAGTTGTATCTTTCCTGAAATAACCAGCACTCAGAAAGGTTTTTTTTTTTTTTTTTTTTTTGCTCTCAGAACAGTTTTTTTCGAACCAACTCTTTCTTTTCTCATATCACTCCCTCTAGCAAGCCCCGCCTACAATTCCTCCAGAAAAAAATAATAATAATAATAATAATATTTGCTTGTCAATCGACCGTAGTAGGGCATTTACCCCCAAGTGCGGAGTTCTCCGTAATTTCCTCTTACGTCACTGGACTGGATTTTGTTATTCGTAGCTGAAGCATGCATCATAGGGATTTCACCGATTAACTCCCTCAACTTACTATCGTCTTCACTTGAATAGAACGCGCCCGGTTGAATTTATCGCTGCATCTGGACTGAAAGTTGGGCCAAATGCAGCTATAATGACCGGGTGTTCTATTCGGGTGAAGACGGTATCGTTGATGACAAGCCGGAATGATCTTTGATTCTACTGAGTTGCGTAAGGAGTGAGGACTTTTCATTCTTGGGGATCGCAAAGTGCAACATGAACTGCACACCTCCGTACTCGTTGCTGCAACTCTTGGATGTGGATGAAAAGGCGTTTTCAATCCATGAGAAGGCGTTCGGATTAAGTTTTTAATACTTTTTATTGTATGCACGGGTCTGCAAATGCGCAAAGGACGGAGTGTGCGATCACAACTGCACAACACACGCATAGACCAGTTCGCACTACGAAGCTTGCAACGGTGTCCGTGGTGTCCGTCATGTCTTTCTGGAGAGGCAATTATGGTAATCAGAAATTCCCTAGACTGTCGCTACAAGGTGTGAATGGCTGTTGCTCCGACTGCAACTCCATGCCGCTCATAAATGCAAGCATCCAGCCCATTCCATCATCATTCTCCCAGGCTAGGCCATCCCTAGGCCATCCTACTTGTGTTCTGTTAAAGTCGTCAACGCAAATACCAGCCCTCTCTCTCTCTCTCTCTCTCTCTCTCTCTCTCTCTCTCTCTCTCTCTCTCTCTCTCTCT